TCCTCGTCTGCTGCCCTGGGGACCCTGCACCCGGGGACCGCCCTGTCCAGCGTGGAGAACTTTACTGCTAGGATTTCAAATTGTTAATTACGCTGTGTTAGCGCGCTTGAGAGAGAGAGAAGGTAGGCACCGCGGCTCCTTTTTTCATCTCGGTGGTTTGATGGTGATTTTTTTTGTTTTTTTAAAAGGGGTTCAGTCCGCGCAGAGCGACCCCTTCCGACCTCGCGTCCCGGTTTTCGCCACTTCGGATTGCCAGAGGAGACTGTGCGGGGACAGTTGGGGCGTACTTCTCGGCTCTGCGGGTCCTTCAATTTATGCAAAGCCGTCCGATGCTGCAGCCCCGGATCCGGGATAGAGAGGAAGGATGGGGATGTTAGCGTTCCGAACACCTGTCTGGACACGGGGCTTCCTTAACATTTTGGAAATGAAAACACGCAAGATAATGAAACCTTTTTGAAGTGTAGAGAATCTCAGGTCCAGGAGTTTAGTCATGTTCAAAAGAGGAATAATACAAAAATAGCCTAAGACCCGAAGAATGCCAGCGAAGCAGTACTTTTTTATTTGAGGACATTTGTCTGGTGTACTTTTTTATGGAAAGGAGAAAACCGATTAACATGTTTACACAAGGAAAAGTCAGAATTATCATGTCTTATTTTAACCTGTGTTTTGTATCATAATAGACATGCGGAGTTTTTATTTTGTACTTACTGCGTATTCTTTACAAGGAATATTGTAAAATTTTCTGGCAATTATTGTACTATTCTAATGTAAGATTTTTACACTCTTTAAAAAAATAAAATACTTAATTTTCAAAGAAAATTCACCCTAATAATTGGCTTTAATGTCCCTTAATTTTTTTCTTTCTTTGTTAAAAAATTTTCTATGTAAAATCACTTAATATCATATTGTAGGCTTTAATATTATTTTCAAAGGGGATTTATCAGAAGGGGTATACTATAATTTTTTTCCCTTTAAACTTTCTAAGTTAAAACTATTGCAGGATATAGAAATTATTTTTAAATGACCATAAGTAGAAAGTTATTTTGGTATGCGTTTTCAAATCTGATTTTGTTTTCAAGAGCATTGAAACTACTTAAAATTTAAGTGCATCAAAAGTTAAGGTAATTGTCTAGCAACTTTTAATTTTATTTTGTGCCTTGATTTCATTTCGTTTCCACTCACGTGTTAGTACAGAATATATATTACTGTGGTTTCTTAGAACTCTCTACAGCATAACATATATGTTGTAATCAGAGTTGTAGGTAATTTGTAGTTTCAAATTCTTAGTGGAGATGACCTTTTAAGCTGTGTATAAGAAAATATTTTTTTTAGAAAAGGAAAATATTTTCACACATGAAAGGGATTGTACTTGAAAATTCTTGTATGTAAAATTAGTATTTTCAGAATTCAGGAGATAGAAATAATTGCACAATGCAGCTTTGCAAAGGCAGCTTATTAAAAGGCTACATTATTAAAAGGCAAACTTGACAGTGAAGTTCTAGCTTAATGTGTAGCCTAGGGATGTGGGTGAAGACTTCAGTTTTATGACCACAAGTACTTGAGAGGATAAGAATAGAAATTCACCAGGTGTTTATGGGTTTATTATGCTTATACCACGTAGGTGATTTAAGCTAGCTTTTAAGACTTGTGATTGTTTACCTGGTTATTGCAGGTAATTTCTAGTTCACTGAAAAACATGAGGCTCTAGTTTTAATGATGACCTTGATTTAATGGTTTAGAAGCCAAGATGCTATCTTGGTTTCTAAATAAAGTCAAATAATGTATAAAGTGAAATATACATAGTTAATATCAGTGATTTATAGTGGAAATGAAACTTGTTTACTCATTTTCTTGAAAATGCCTGGTGAAGCATATACATATATAAGGTTTGCAGAGTTAGCACATTAATCAAGTCTACAATTTAGGCCAGTTTTTAAAGTGACATTCACACTTGACCTGCCCTGTGCTCTGTTCTTCGAGGGGAAAAAAGAAGCCCCTTCAATACTGGAAAACATTCTTCTCCTGAAAACTTTGGAAGAGGTTGAATGTTAGTATAAATTAGTCCTCACACCCTCAAACTGTAAATGAATAGGTGCAAAGTGATGTGAGACCAAAAACTTGTGTACAGGTAGCTTTTTCTGTAGCCGGGTTGCAGGAGAGGAGACATAGTGGATAGTGAACCCTGGGTCCCCAATCCGCCCAGAATGGAGCAGTCTTAGCTGGAGGAACCTCAAGGCAGAGACCCTGCTGGTGCACCTTGAAGATGAGTCTGGGATTTCTGTCTGAAAGTAGTTTGGAAGAGTGAAAGGACAGAAAGTGCGTGTGCACTTTTCACGTGATGTGTAGATGTCTTGAAAATAGACTCCCAGTTTCTGTTCAGATTCACCTTGCTTAAAAAGTGCGGAGCTACTCGGCCCCTCCAAGGTTGTCAGTGCTTTGAGGAGCAAGGAAAAGAAGCTGTGGACCACCACGGGGTGCAAAGGTGGGGTGCTTTGCCCACAAGGAAGCGCAAACTTCAGCTGCCTCATTTGTAAGCTTTGTTTCTTGTGTATTTCCTTGCCCTGTGGGTGAACCCCATTGCTGTGCTGGCCCTGTGGCCCACGAGGGTGGGTGGATGAGATATGGGCAGCAAAGTGAAGGCCTAAGTCCGGACCACGGGGCAACTAGTCAGAGCTGTGGGGAGGGTGAGGGGTGTGTGGCGTGGGCCGTGGAAGGGACAAGCCCAGGGTGCAAGGCGCGCCCCACAGGCCTGGCTGGCGAGCAGGTGCTGGAACAAAGGCCCCGGACCACCGTGGCCTTTGATGGCCAAGGACGTCTCCTCCCGGGGCTCCTCATTCGCATGCAAATCCCGCGCTGGTTCCCCTTTCTTTGAAGGCAAACAGAAGGATGTTTGTATGTTTGTAAGGATGAAGCCTGCTTCAACAAGGCCTCCCCAATAGACTGGGTCTCGAAAAAAAATAAACCAGTTGGACAAACATTGGCCACCAGCTCTCCTCCTCCCAACTACAAAGTGTGGATTTGCTACAACTCATTAACCCGACGCTTTTCTCTACTTCTCCTTGTTTCTCCGCTCATCAAACGCCCCGGTAGAGCCTGGAAACAAATGACCGAAGTGCAGTTGGGAGGGAATTGCAGTTAATAGGGAAAAGGATATATTGGGGCTAATGGTTCAGGCAGTTCCTGAGAAGGACCACACAAAAAGGAGCCTGTCCATTCAGGGCTCTTGTGCTGCGGAGATTTAATCTGTGGCTAGATTTAGCCAAATGTTATCTATTGCGGGGGGGGGGGGGTAATGAAGCCCTTATGGATTGAATTGCTCCTTGTACCTCACATGGTGTCACGACCTTACATTGTTTCGTGGTTTTCTTTTTTCCTCTCTATTTGGTAATTATTTTATTTCTCTAACACCAGAAGCAGCGGGTGTTTTTGCTCAATAACGTGTTCCTTTCCATTCCCATCCTGATGAGTTTTTATGGAAGAGCCACTTCCCTTCTTCTTAGGAACAGAAGGGAAAAAGAAAGTGAGTAGGAGAAGGAGGGGAAATTCAAAGATGGCCCCTCTTTTTATCTACTGATCCATCAGTGTGTTTGAACATTTCATCATCTGTCTCCCCCTTAGAGAAGGAATGTCCACATGTACTGATGGCTCGGTGGATTGGACTCACGTTTTTTCCCCCTCCTACCTAATTTATTTTTTTAAGAAGGGAAGTGCTTCTTAAATGTATGTATGTATATTTCTTTTTTGAGTATATTAAAATGTCATCTCAGGAAGAGGTTTCTGCCCTTGTACAGTTTCTTTCCTTCCCTTTTGCTTTTTAAAATTCACCATTTCTTTCTTTTATGTAGCCAGTCTTCTAAGGGGGGGGAGGTGGCTATTTTGATGGGAGGTGATTATTTTGATGGAATACCAGGCAGTATCATTTATTAAAGGCTGGCTGAGGCCAGCGACTGAGCTGTGCCTGTTTTGTTTTTCTGTCTTTGGCCCTGGTGGCTCTGATTTCCTTTCTTGACCAAGGACCAAGCTTGGAGCAGCTAACGTGTTATTACAACTGCTATTGATGGGTAAGGATTTTAATTTACCCTGCAAAGCCAGGAATCAAGAACTCTGGTTTTAGTTGTTTGTTTAAAATAAAATGTAAAACCCTGTTGGCTACATATTTTGCTCACACCTGTTTTTATTATGGATGGAGCAAAGTAATTTTGGGGGCAACCTGAAGGTCATAGCAGCAGCAAATTCAGTCCACATCAGAAATTTGCCCAAGAACTGCCTTGTTCTTCCTGAAGTAACCGCAGGCCTAATTGAAATGCAGGGGCTCCCTCTGTTCTAAGAACTGGACCAGAAAGGAAGGGCTGAGGAATAGACGACAAGTGACAAGGGCCCAGCATTGTTTGCAGCCATTCTTCTTCTTCTTCTTCTCTCTCTCTCTCACATACACACACACCCCCACACACACACAAACTCTACACACGCATGCACGCTTCATACCCATCATCTGCCACTGCTTCCCTTCTCTGCTATGATTTTGTAATTAGGCATATGCTTTTTGTTGCTAAATGTGTTTGATGTCACGGCCAGTGAAATGTGGTGTGTTTATAGGGCCACGAATGTAAATGTGTAAATATGTTTAGTGTAAAATCTGGCCCTTCGACTTTAGCAATAAATACGCTGCCAACTTGGATACGATTACATTTGACAGAAAGATGGAGATTCTGATCATGACCAGCTGCTCAGGGGGCTCTTTGGGACTTATACTTTCCCAACGGAATTCACTTTTTAGATCATTTCTTTGCATGTCACATCTCTCCAATCACATATTTCCCTTGATGTGAACAACTTGGGCACCTTTCTTCTTGTTGCTGACCCCTCGGCCATGCAGGAAACTTCCTGGTTCATTCCTCCTGCCTCTTTATGAAGCAGATTCAATTCAACAAGCAGAAAACACAGAGAAAACAACTTCCTATTAGCATGGATCCCTTTTTGAGTGCTGGGTCTTTGAGCGTGATGGAGAGAAATGACGATCTGGGCTCCTGATTCATAGTTATCATTTCCCTCGTCAGTAGCATCACCAACCAGACTTAATGTTTTGAGCTACTCCAACTTTTAAAGGAAGTGTTTTGTTGAAAATTGATACACCTAAGAAAGGCACAGAAATCTTGAGGACTTTTCACAACATGAGCACACTGGTGTATCCAACATCAGATCAAGAAGCAAAGGATATTAACATCTCAGAATCCCCCCTCCAGCCTGTTCTATCACTAACCTCTTCACACACTAATGTTTTAAGAGAACCTTCACCGATCATTTCTTTTGACTCCCCTTGTAAAACAGTGAGGGCAAGAATTATTATGATTCTGTTTTACAAATGAAGATATCATGGCTCAAAAGAGATTAAGTGATTTGCCTCAGGTCACAGCTACTGGGACTTTAGCATTTAAATCCCATTTTATTTCCATTACACCACACTGCCACTTTGTGCCGCCATTGTGATTTATTAAACACCCACTGTGGCAAGGCAGTTGACTTGGAGGTCACTGTGAAGAATCATTTATTTCTTAGTACACTTTCCCCCCATCCTCCTCCCTTTCACGTCTTCCCAGAGATACCCTACCTCTTCCCAGACATATCTCAGCTTAAATAATTGAATTGTTTGCTAATCAGTTTGGAGATCTCAGATTTCTCAGCCTTGTTCTAGGTGACATACTCTCTTTTTTTGTGCCTGCAGTATTCTTCAAAACATACCTGTGTCTCTGTCTTTCTGTCAGCCCTGCCCACCCTCTCACCCCCCAGAGATAGACACAGAAAGAGAGAGAGAGAGAGAGAGAGAGAGAGAGAGAGAAAATACACTATCACCGTTGGTACTATCCGCTTCTCTGGCTGATTCTCGTGGCTTTCTAAGTCTCTAATTGTTAATCTTTCAGTTTATTACTATTTTGCTAAACCACTGAGTAGGTCCTTACAGCTAGCCTATGTATAACACCTCCTCCTGTGTAGAAGGGAAGAGATATGCGAAGGCAGATCAACGGAGTCAACATTAATGAGAAAGCAAAGCATTTTGCTGAGTACTACTCCTCCCTAACACACAATAAACACACTCTCAGTGGGGGTTTTGGGGTGCATTTTATTTGTTTTTACTCCCTTTGAACAGCTGCATGATGTGGCTTGGGCTGGTTCTTTGAGCCTCTGCATAATTAATCCTTTGCACAGGGCCTTCCCAGGCGATCCCACCTGGAGCCACGACCTGCCCTGCAAGAGGTTTCCCTAAAATGCTTTTGGGGAAGGGGGAATCCCAGACCACCTGCTAGTCCATCCTTGCCTGTTGCCACCCTGAAGCCCCATTGAAGTCTAGCCTCCTTAAGCAGGGGCTGGGGCTCTGGCTTTGTCCCTGCATGAGGACATCCACACTAGAGTCAATGCAGCGATTGCATTGTGCCTGACTGCTTGTGAACTGCAGACTGCAGAGGGGCGTACGTGGGGATCCTTCCAACCAACAGTGTCTGATGGAAGACAACATTGATTTTTTTTTCTGGAGAAAGGGCATTTTGTATTTTAATCACAAACTTTTAGTCCTAGACTTTAAAAGACAACAAAAATCCACTGGGGGTGGGTGTGTGTAAGAGTCAATTAGTATCAGACCTTTTAGTCAAAAGACCTGGAAAATTCAGTTTCTGAATTTGAATTCTGAACTTTTCCTCAAAGAAAGGCTTGAAGAATATGTTTCTTAAGGTCAGAGTAGCTTTATTCTCTAAGATATGATTTTGCCTTGTATGTAGGATCCTAATGTTAGGAAAAATATTGCAGCCCATTAAACAGAAAGTAAGCTAAATGAAATTAAGTACCAGGAGAGGAAGATGCCCAGCCACGTGATTCAGGTGACCTGGAGGCCTAGAGGTGGGAAGCTGGGCAGTTTCTCTTCCTTTGATCTATAATAGGCTGATAAACTATTGATCAATAATAGTTTGGCAAAGAAAAAAGAGAAAGGAGCAGAGATGAATTGAAGCAGAAGGTAAATCCTCTTCTCACACTAGTCTAGGAATCCCTGTTACTATAATGTAAAAGGCAGGTATTTCCAGCACTAAAGAGGAGGGAAACATCTTCTAAAAGAGTCTTCAGGAGAGGTCATGATGAATGAAAATATCTTGGTTTTCTGATTTTGTCTATTTTTAGGCAAAGAAATTGACACATGTAAAAACAACTGGCAGCACTGTGCTTTATGAGCTGAAAGGAGATTAAAAAAATCCCTCACAAATAAAAATTTTTCCAAAGGCTGCAAGAGAAGAAATGAGGCTGAACTGAAATTGTTAGATCAGTTTTCAAACTAACTTTTAGATTTCAGGGTGTTGTGAGAATAAAAAATAAATAATGCTAAAATGTGTATTATGAGAGATAAAACTCACAGAAATGTAAAGATTATAGCCCTTTTGTGATTTCTTTCTCATATCTTTCTAGAAAAACAAAACTTTCAGCTTTTGAGTACTGTAAACTCATAAATTAATGGAAATTAACATTTAGTCGTATGTACTACTTTTTCTTCAAAATTCCTGTTGTATCTCTACATTACTGAGCCCTTCCTAGAATTAATGAGGAGAGAAGAGATGGCTTTTCCGTTAGCCTGAGGTGTATTTAGACTGAAAACTTTCTCTTTTCTAAACTAAACAAACCAATGTTGTTTTAAAGCTACTCGTCTATTCTTGCTCTATTTCTTTACTTTTCCACTGAGCATCTCTTTAACCTCCAGCTTAGAAAATTCAGTTTAGCCTGCAATATTTATTGGGCACCTGCTATACTGCAAATCCTTTTATTCCCATTTTAAACATAGCAATGAATTAAGGCATTTCCACTATCAAACTGCCTCCAGTAAGAGCAACCTGAACTCATGGAGCAAAAGGCACAAAATATTTTAATCAGAAACATAGGGGTCAGGAAAGACTAAGAAGACGGTCTCATCATTTATTAAGAGATACTTTAAATCCCCAAATATCTTGCTGGCATACAAGCTAAATAAAAGTTATCAGTTTTCTTGACACTTTCTGGTGTGGCTGACTTATTCACAAAATCCACACAAAAAGTGTCAGAAGTCCTTCAATGTGGAAAACTATGAATTTGATTTCTCTCCCAAGTTTTGAAGGCTTTAAAAGCAAAATTTGTAAACAACATCTCAGACACCAGTCTTGACGGGTATGTGTGACTGCCTGTAATTAGACTATTAGAAAATAGTCTACCACTATTGCTACCACTATGAACTAAGACTATCTAGAATGAATAGATTAGATGATGTTCACAAGGATTTGTACAGGAGTCAAATGCAGAGACAGCATAACACCTTAAGGCATTTCCCCCCATGCTTATTTTATTACACATCACAGAAAAAATATTAAGCGCAGTATAAATGATACTGGCTCAGAAATAAGGCAAGATTCAGAGCTATTGTTCATGGGTCGCTATAAATTTTTATAATTTTATAGACTTTCAAATAAGTGTTTTTGCCCCTGCATACATTAGATAGACCTTCAACATGTAAACTCAGGCCTTCTGTAGGCTTGGGACTAGTGGGGGGAAGGATGCACAGGCGCCCAAGAAACTGAGAGCAACTCACCAAGTTTGGGTCTAGTTTTTTTCTTTCACAAGTAATCATCAGGTTTGGGTCTAGTTTTTTCTTTACAAGTAACCAGTGGTACATAGGATAAAAACAAAATACAGGGTTCTGTTTTTTGTTTTTCTGTTTTAAGAGACTTCATTTTTCTTTGCCCTTCTCCCCTTTCCCCCAACCCCACAACTCCAATCTTTGTTGTAGAACAAGACTCCAGCAAACCATCTCCCACTCGTCTTTAGAGCGATGTGGGATGGGATCCTTTATTTTAGGGAGTTGGTAGGTGCGGGTTGTTATTGTAACTCTACTCTGTAACTAAAGCTTTGGCATATAATAAATCTCTCCCCCAAGACTTTTGGATCTTTGATTTGAAAAATCGGATTCCTTCTGTGGAAACAGTTGACAGGAACCTAAAAGGATTAGTTGCATTCCACATAGGATAATTTTTACTGGCAACATTTTGAAACGATTTGGTCCCTTTCAGGCCTTAAACAATGTCCAGAAAAATGATCTAACGAGACTTGTATTGTTTTCCCGTCTGCGCATCCACTCGCTACTTGTGCCAATGTCTCGGTAGAGTTGGGACAGGGTTTTGCTCTCAGTTTATTAATTTCCGATCGGTCTTTTTACTTTAGTAACCGCCTTTGGCAAGGGGCCCTGTAATGTTTTCCCTGAGTCAGCCCCAGCGGTGAAGCGGGAGCTTGTCTCTCAAAGGCGCCGTGCCTGGAAGTGGGGCGCAGACAAGAGCTCACCCCCGATCTCTCGCCCAGGGCCATGCTGCGTGTGCTCTACGAGCACCGTCCAGGCGCGCAGTCGTAGGTAGCTCTGGTCCCCGAACTACGCTGCGCGCGGCAGGCCAGGCAGGCTGCGCGCATTTCTCCAATCTTCCCGGCCAGTTTGTAATGCAGGTGGGTGGAGGGTAGGAAGGAAGAGGGTTTCGTTTCTTTACTCGTCCGAGCCCAAAACAAAACAATAGGGCTAGAGCGGCCTGCACTCCCCTAGCCGACGTCCTCGGAGCTGCAGCTTGCGGACCGCGGGCGACAGAGGTCCCCGCCTCCCCGGCCCTCTCTACTGTTTATTTGGTTGTCAGCGGACTTATCAAGATGTTAGCTTGCAGGAGGTTCTGACCTGCCCGGGCGCTTTGGCTGCACGGCCCAGGCTTTCCCCTCTGTTTTTACACCTGCACAAACTCCACCGCACTCCCTCGTCTGATTTATAGCCCAATTAAAGGTTCAGTGTGCTCGAAGCCACCCGCGCTGTGCCCTCCGCCTCCCGCGGCCACGGCCAGCCCAGGAATGCGCCGCGCGGGTCCGCTGGCTGCGCCCCAGACCCCGAGCGGCGAAAAACCAGGTCCGAGCAAAGGCCGAGCGCGTGCCCCCGAGCGCCACGCAGCAGCCGCGCACGACTAAACCCCGCCAGCCACCTGAGACGCTTCGTCTCGACCGTCCCGACTCCACGGGTGCCGGGCGCGCGGAGAGGCCACGTGGCGCGCCCGGAGGCGGAAGCCCCGCACGGACCTTCCGGCCCGCGCCCTCCGCGCGCTGCCCGGGGAGGAGGGGCACAGAGGGCATTCGGTCCCCTGTGCACGCGGTCGCTCGGGATGGGTGTCGCTCGCTCAGCGACTCTCGGCGGGGAAGCTGGAGGTTCCTGCTGCCGGGACCAGACGTTGGGCGGGAACGCGCGAGGTCAGCGTCCGCTCGCTCGTCTCAGAGCCTGGTTCGGCGCGCGGGGGCGGGCTCCGGCTCCTGCCTCCTCCTTTGCGTCCTTTTCTTTGCAGAGAGAATAAGCGGCAACCCAACCGAGATTGGCAGCATTGAGCATCTTCCAAACCTAATGCTGTCTACTTTCCTTCTATCAATCCACCTTTCTAATTAGACTAATTAGGAGCTCTCTGGAGTGTCGCAGGGCCCAGGGACTGAACCGCTTAGGGATTGTGAAAAGACCTCTGAATGGCCACGTTGGGGGCCGGGCGGGGGCCCTTGCGCCCCATTCAGCACAGAGTAACAGTGACTACATTTATCCCTTGCCATTGAAAAGAGGCTCGATTAAAACGTTTGGGAACTCATGCCACCCTGTATCCCCTCTTAATTAGAGGGGCCCGGGCGACGGGGGACCCCGCATGCACTGGATCTGTGCGCTGCTGCTTTCCGCCCTCTCAGCGCAGCGCATTTCTTTCCCGAGACAAAAGCCCGCCAGCTCCCCACCTGTTGCCGACCCTCGTTTTCCTACTCATGCCGGGTGCCCTTGCTCTGGTCCCAAGCTGATGGTGAAGCCGACTGCTTTAGGCAGCCAAACTTGGCACGCAAGCTGGTGGCATCAGAATGGAAAAGGCCGCTAGGTTTCTCAGTGTACTTGGAAAGCATCCTCTAGGCTTCCTATTTTTCTCTCCATCTTTTTCCTCTATATAGTTCATTCTTCACTTCTCCTGTTTACGTGAAATTTCCAAGCAGATAATCTGAATATGAGAATAAGGGGGAGAGTTAAAATGCCGCCCTGATCCACTGTCTTGGCGGCATTCCCGCATGAATAATTTTTACGCTTTTCCACCAGTGTGTTATTTTAAGGAAATGTGTATTGAGCGCCTATGCCCGTACTACACTCTTCAGTCTTCTGCCCTCTTCCCCCTTTTCTTCTCAGGCCATCTCCAAATGTCTTAAGTAACTTCACTTGAAGTTTATATTGTTGATACAAATTTTATCTTTTTTTGGGTGGCTTAATAAGACCATACCTACAAAATATTGACAAGACAGAGGAGAAAAAACATATTGCAACCATAGATTTTTGTTTTATTTTGTTTGTAGATATTTTGTTTCGGAAGTAAGAGTGGTGTCATTTTCTCAAGAATTCTAAACACACTGTGCTTTAGAATAAAGGTGACTAAGAATATTTACTTTCCACTGTTGTATGTATGTTAGTGAGTGTGTGTGTGTGTGCGCGCGCATATGTGCATGTGAGACACACACACACACACACACACACACAGAGAATATCCTTTTTGGAAAAGAGCCAGATACACAAATATTATCAAATCACTGTTATTGATCTTGTTAATTTAGAAAACAAAATCTCAGGAAAGATGCTATTAACTAAATGTCAACCCATAGCATGCAAAATTCCTTGGACCCAAATTAAAAAAAAAAAAAGTCATGTGAGTAATGGAATTTTTTTAAGGCCTAAACAGGATCTTAATAGAGTTTTATTGCTTCCACACCCTGCTTTACAATATTTTAACAGTTACAAGATGCATGGCATTGCAACAAATCTAACTAGTTAAAAAGCTGGGAGGAGGGGCAGGGAAAAGAATAAAAAAATAATTTGCTTTGGGGAAAATGATAATTAGTAAAGTTGAAAACATTTCTGGAGTAACTCTGAAATGAAAACCAAAATGTATTTTGTTATGCTATCAAATTTCTTATTTTTAAAGTTTCCACTGCCAATTTAAATTGTAATTAAAGAATAATATACATCCTATAAAAAGCACAAACCCTAAGTGTGCAACTTGGCAAATTTTACCTCCCTCTGCACCTGTGTAGCCAGCCACCACTTAAAGCAAATTATCACACATTTTTAACACCCTAGAAAATTCATCCTCTTCCCATCAATAGTGTGCCTACTAGAAGTGATCTTCTCATTTCGACTCCACACATTATTGAACTTGTTCTTAGAACTCTTGCAAGTGAAATAATACTGTATGTATGTAATATTTTGTCTGGCTTCCCTTACTCATCATTATGTTTGTCAGATTCATTGGTTCAAAGTTAGCAAACAATATATGGGTGAAGTCCATTTCCATTGTTGAGAACTAGGACACTAGACACTGAAAGGCTTTATTTTTGTTTTCAATGGAGGGTGGAAAACAACTCTTCCCCTCATGTAAGGAAAAAACAAACCAGCACAACACAACAAAAATACAAAACTGAAAAACCTTAAACACTTCATTGTTAACTAGTAGAGTTAATTTTGAAAAATTATAAATAAGCAAATAAAATGAAATAATTTACCTTTGGTTATTTCCATCATTTGCAAGATATAATTACGAGTCACTGGAAAGAGGGAAAAAAGGCGCAAGCTACAATTGTAATTGGATTCTATTTCGCCCATGCAATTTGAATCACTAATGCTAATAATAGGAAGTACTGTGGGCCTCTTCACAAAGAATGGTGTCAAAATGAGGAGGGGAAAGTAAATTGCATGTGGTGGGTTCTACCTTACATGTAAAGGCACTTCATGCAACAGTCTGTCAAGTGTACTTTGAATTCTGATAGAAAGTAAAGTGTTCATTTTGCAAACTAATCCAGCAGTCTGTACTTTGTCTCATCTATAGATCACCATATGGACCAATTAGTTAACTTTGCAGAGAAAAGTGGTTTCCTAGAAAATGAAAGGAGCCCAGCAAACTGAAGAATTATGATTGTCCTACTCCCTCCCAACATCCCCAAATTCGAGTTTGAAATCCAGCTCTTCTCTATGCTTGTTGTGGGGCATCTTAGTGCAGTTTATCATCAGTGACTACCCCCATCTCCAACAGGAACGGTAGATGCAATTGTAGGACCTTTCCCTACAGACAGCATTTTTAGGGATTGACATGTTTGGACTGTGGGGAAAATTATTAAACCAAAGGGGAGAAATGTGGAGTGAGGTTTTGGTCAGTTATCATGGATATTGGTAAACTGGAAAGGAGGAACACATCTTTTTATAACTTTAAATCTTAAAATTAGTATAAAATAAAGCTTAGAGTTCCTATTCAGGAAGACAGATGTGCAGATAAAAACACGCCAATTGACCTGTAAAAATATAAATCGATTGAATCAGTTATTCCCCCACAATAAGGAAAAGAACTACTTACCTTTTCAAATGGCTTGAATTAAAAGTAGCAAAGTATGAAATGCTGGCAAGGATGCAGAGAAGTTGGGTCTCTCGTACATTCCTGATGGGGATGTAAAATGGTACAGTCACTCTGGAAAACAATTTGCCGTTACCTCCAAAACTGAATATTGACCAGTATAGACTTCTGTGAACCATCAGTTGCATTCTATTCTAGGGCATTTATTCCAGCGAAGTAAAAACTTGTGTTCACCGAAAAACCTCTCTACAAATGTTCAGTTCAGGTTTATTTTTATTGGAAATTAAAAAAAAAAATCCCCTTCACTCCAACATAGTCCACATGTCCCTCAGTCGGTGAAACAAACTCTGCGATAGTCAGCTCTATAATGGTGTACTACTCAGTCATAAATAAACTGCTGACACAGGTAACACTTGGATGGAGCCAGAGGCCATTGTGATGAGTAAAGAAAGTCCATTTTAAAAGAAAGGTCATGTAGTAGATGATTCCATTTATATGTTGTTGTTGTTGTTATGTGCCATTGAGTCATTTGCGACTCATAGCGACCCTATGTACAACATCCTGAAACCTGTTCTAAACTGTGCCAACCTTTTTGTCTCTGACACACCTACCCCCATTACCTCAGTCACTAAATCAGTCCATCTCATCAAGGTCTTCCTATCTTGTGCTGTCCCTCCACCCTTCCAAGCATGTTGTCCCTCTTCAAGGACTGGTTCCTCCTTGCAACATGCCCAAAATATGTCAGACAAAGCCTTAGAATCCTTGCCTCCAAGGAGCAGCCTGGCTTCACCCTCTCTAGGACCAACCTGTTTGTTCTCCTTAAAGTCCATGGTATATTCAATACTCTTCTCCAGCACCACAGCTCAAAGGCATCTATTCTTTTTCTATCATCCCTAGTCATTGTCCGGCTCTCTGATGCATAGCAAGTAATTGCAAAGACTATGGCCTGGATAAGGCACACCTTAGTCTTCAGACTGACGTCATTGCTTTTCAGTACTGTAGAGAGGTCCCTGACTGCAGACTTTCCCAAAGCAATATAATAAAACTACAGAAATTGATGGCTGCCAGGAGTCAGAAAGAGAGGGCAGGGATGTGACTATAAAGAGGTAGCGCAAGGGATTTTATTTGCAGTGAAATAAAATTTCTGTATCTGATTGTTAATGGTGGCTACATAAATAAATATACACATGAGATCAGATTGCATACAACTGCACACATACATTTATATGCACCTACACAAATGTGTAGAAGATGGTCAAAATGGGATAAGGCCTATGATCTAGTTAAGCATTATGCTATGCCAATTTTCTGCCTGGCCAACTGATTTGAAGAGATCAATATTTGTTCCCATTCACAAGAAAGGTGATCTAACTATGTAGAAATTATCAAACAGTTTCATCGATAATGGTAGAATATTAAATGATCCAGGAAGTATTAAAAGAAGATGGAAAGAGTACACAGAGTCATTATACCAAAAGGAATTGGCAAAGAATTTAATGAAACAACATATGAGCAAGAGCCTATGGTGATGAAGGAGGAATTTCAGACTGCTTTGAAAGAATTGGCTAAAACTAAGGCCACAGGAATTGATGGTATGCAGTTAACGTATTTCAACTAAGAGATGCTGCCCTAGATAAGCTTACCAAGTTGTGCCAAAAAATCTGGAGGACAACCACTTGGCCAACTGACTGGAAGAGATCTATATTCGTTCCCATTCCAAAGAAATGTGACACAACAGAGTGTGGAACTTATCGAACAATATCATTGATATCACATGCAAGCAAGATTCCGCTGAAGATTATCCAAAAACGACTGGAACAGCACATCAACAGATAACTGCCAGCAGTGTGGGCTGGGTTTAGATGGGGTCGTGGTACTAGGGATATTGTAGCTATTGTAAGATGGATCTTGACTGAAAGCAAGGAGTACCAGAGGAATGTCTATCTGTGTTTCATTGATTATGCAAAGGCATTTGACTATGTGAATCACAATAAACTGCAGCTAACTCTGAGAAGAATGGGAATCCCAGAACACTTGATTTTGCTAATGAGAAACTAGGAGGCAGTCATCAGAACAGAGCAGGGAAATACTGCATGGTTCAAAATTGGGAGGGTTGTACGCCACGGATGTGTCCTGTTTTCATACCTTTTCAATCTTTATGCAGAACACATTATCTGGGAGGCTGGACTCTATGAGGAGGAATGTGGCATCAGGATTGGAGGAAGACTCATCGACAATCTGCTTTATGCAGGTGACACAACCCTGCTTGCTGAAAGTGACGAGAACCTTGCTGTGGAATGTCAGGGACTGCAGCCTTGTATTGAAGCTCAATATCAGGAAAACAAAGATTCTCACCACTGGGCCGATTGGCAGCATCATTATGGATGGTGAAGGTGTTGAGATTGTTCACAGCTTTAGTTTGCTCGGCTCCACAATCAACATTCTTGGCACCAGCAGCCAGGAAATTAAAGGATGTATTACGATGGGAAAGTCTGTGGTTAGAGGCCTCTCTAAAGTACTGAAGAGCAATGATGTCAGTCTGGAGACTAAGGTGCGCCTGATGCATGCCTGGTCTTTGCAATCACTTGCTATGCATCAGAGAGCTGGATAATGACTAGGGATGATAGAAGAATTGATGCCTTTGAACTGTGATGTTGGAGAAGAATATTGAATATACCCTGAACTGCTAAAAGAATGAACAGATTTGTCCTGGAGAGGGTGAAGTCATGCTGCTCCTTGGAGGCAAGGCTTCTGAGACTCAGTCTAATATACTCTGGACATGTTGCGAGGAGGGGCCGGTCCTTGGAGAGGGACATCATGCTTGGGAGAATGGAGGGACAGCGCAGGAGAGGAGGACCCTTGTTGAGATGGATTGATTCAGTGACTGGAGTAATGGGCGTTAGGTGTGTCAGAGACTGTGAGATTGGCACAGGATAGGACAGAGTTTAGGGCTGTTGTACATAGGGTCACTATGAGTTGCAGGCGACTAGATGGCACATAACAACAACAACAATCATTGATATCACATAAAAGAATACTGCTGAAAACCATTAAAATGGCTGGAACAGTATATTAACAGAGAACTGCCAGAAGTTCAAGCTGGATTTAGAAGAGACTGTGGCACAAAGGATATGATTGCTGATTGCAGATGAGTCCTGGTTGAAAGCAAATACTAGACTATTTGTTCTCATTGACTATCCAAAGACATTTGACTGTGTGGATCATAATAAATTATAGCTAATATAGAGAAGAATGGAAATCCCAGGACACTTAATTGTGCCTGTGGGAAACCTCTATCTAATCCAAGAGGCTGTAGTGTGAGTAGAGCAAGGAAACACTACATAGTTTAAAATTCATAAAGGTATGCATCAAGGTTGTATCCATGCTCCATACCTATTTAATCTGTTGTGTACCATAGAGTTGGAACCTATCTATAGCTGACCCTCTGGCAGGTTTTCAGAGGCAATTAATCACACAGAAGGAGGTTGCTCATCCTTCTTCCATGGAACAATTGGTGGCCTTGAACCATATGCCTTTGTGATTGCAGCCCAGCTTCTTGCCACTACACCATCATAATTAGACGAAAGAAGGAAGAAAAATTATTCCAGAAGCTGGACTCTATGAAGAAGGGTGTGGAATTGTGATTAGAGGAAGACATCAATGACATTCATTATGCAGTTGACACAACTTTGATGGCTGAAAATGAGGAGGACTTAAAGGCTTGTTGAAGAAGATCAAAGACTTCAATGTGGATTGTATTCCAATATCAAGAAAACAAAAATTCTCACCACTGGACCAATAGGCAACATCGTGATAGATGGAGAAAAGATTAAAACCATCAACAGTTTCATCTTACTAAAGTCCATAATCAGTACACTTGGTGCCAGCACTCAGGAGAGCAGGAAACATATTGCTCTGGGAAAGTATGTAGTCAGGAGCCTCTCCAAATTACTGAGGAGTAATGATGTCAATTTGATGACTAAGGTGGGCCTGACTGAGGCCAGGGTCTTTTCCATCACTTGCTACAACATCTGCGAACTGGACAGTAAATAAGGATGACTGAAAAAGAATTGATGCCTTTGAACTGTGGTGTTGGAGAATAGCGATGGACATCTCGTAGACTGTGCAGAGAATAAACAGATGAGTCTTGGAGAGGGTGCTCCTGGGAGGCAAAGGGCGGAGTTCAGATCTGTGTTCATAGGTTCGCCACAAGTCTTATTTGACTTGACAGCACCTAACAACAACACTGCCACCATCAGAAGAAGCTGGGTGAAGGAAGCTGTGACTATATGTACTGTTTTTGCAACATTTTGTGAATCTATAATTATTCCCAAATAAGAAACTAAAACAGTAAAAGATATCATCTCATTAATGAAACTTTCTACTGGTGGCAAGATTTTTACTGGTTGATTTCTCTTAAGTAATAAGAGCAATTAATTTAGCCCTGTCCTAGCCATAGGTATTTTATTGACAATATTTAAAAGACCAATAATTTTCTATTGTAATCTATTGATAGACATGGATCAATGTCTATGAATTGTCGTAGGTTGAATTGTGTCTCAAAGAAACATGTGTCAATTTTGCTGAACTATATGATTCTCTGTATTGTGTGGTTGACAATTTTGTGATCTGATGTTATTGTCCTATATGTTGTAAATCCTAGTCTCTGCTTGTAGTAAATGAGGCAATATTGTTGTTGTTAAGTGCTGTCGAGTTGAGTAGGATTCATAGCAACCCTATGGACAATAGACTTGAACTCTGTCCTGCTCTGTGCCATCCTCAGAATCTCTGACATACTTGAGCCCATTGCTGCAGTCACTGTGTTAATCTGTCTGGTTGAGGGGTTGCTGCTCCTCCAAATATGATGTTTTTCTCTAAGTAATAGCCTCTCCTAGCAACATGCCCAAACTATGTTAGATGAAGCTTCATTGTCTTTTCCTCCAAGGAGCCTTCTGACTGCACATTCTCCAAGACATACCTGTTTGTTCTTTTATCAGTCCATGGGGTCTCCAACACCACAGTTCAAAGGCATCAATTCTTCTGTCATCCTTATTCATTATCCAGCTCTCAGAAGCATAGCAAGTGACTGAAAAGACTATTCTGAATCAGGTGCACTTTAATCTTCAAACTGTCATCACTGCTCCTCAGTAATTTGGACAGGTCCCTGACTGCACACTTTCCCAGTGCAATATGTCTCCTTATCTCCTGACTGCTGATTCCGAGGGCATTGATTGTCTATCCAAGTAAGATGAAGTTTTATCTTTTCCCTATGTGTCATGACAGATTTTGTTTTCTTGATGTTGAGACGTGATCGTATTGACTGTGTTTTTGGTCTTTCTGAAGTAAGCACTTCAAGTCCTCCTCACTTTCCGCAAGCTGTATAATACAGGTTGTTGATGAGTCTTCCTCTGATCCTGATGCCATGTTCTTCTTCATAGTGTCTATCTTCTTGAATAATTTGCTCATAAAAGGATTATGTTTGCTATAGTTAATAAGGAAGGATTAAAATGGGATACAACTTAGGTTAAAGCCCTGATTAATGTAAGGGAAGATTCTTTGGGTGTGGCACATCATTTTATATAGGAGATAAAAATAAACATAAATGACCAGAGAATGAAGGGTTGGCAGTGGGCTGTATCTTTTACATTTCGAGTCCCTGCACTGAGAACCCCTTAGACCCAGGTTTTTAAATGTCCTCTCAGTGTGACTGCTTAGGAGGAAACTTGTTGGAACCTACTGCCCACTCAGGGAAAAAGAAATTGCAGTTGGTTCTGGAAAGGCCTTGGAAAGCCGATGGGGCATTTCTGTGCTGTCAGATAGGGTCGGCATGAGTTGAGATTCAACTCTGTAGCAATGGATTTGGGTTTTTAATTGATGATCAAAGAACAAATAGGTAAGTCCTGGAGAAGGTGCAACCAGAGTGCTCCTTGGAGGCAAAGCTGGCAAAGCTTCATCTCACGTACTTCAGACATGTTGTTAGAACAGGCTGGTCCATGCAGAGGAAGATCGTGCTTGGAAAGGCAGAGGGTCGGTGAAGGAGGAGACCCTCAACCAGGTAAGTTGACACAGTGATTGCAGCAGTGGGCTCCAGTATGTCAGAGATGTTGAGGATGGCACAGGATAGGACAGGATTCAGATCTGTTGTTCATAGAGTGGTCGTTATGAGTGGTACTTAACTGGAGGGCACCCAACAACAATAACAACAACAATGTGGAACTTAAGATTCCCCATGAACTGATAAACCAAATTGAAAAAGGAATTAAGGATAGGATGCAACACTCTTATACTCACCACAGCTCTGATAATGGAAGTGGCCTGTAATAGTTGGGTGTTGTGTTTTTTTCCCCTCACAGGAGACAAAAGAAAAGCAAAGTGAGAGGGAGTGGCCTGAGGGTGGGTGACAGTGAACCTCAGCATCACCATGAAAGGAAGTAGAGTGTGTCCTTTGCGTCAAGGTCCCTGTGCTGGAAAGGCCAAGATGTATGGAGATCTGCAAGGAATTAGAGACCTATATACCAATGCTGAAGGGAACTTTTCTCCACAATGAACAGAAAGTTTTCCCCTGAATTTGCACTTAAAGTGCCCTAAATGGTAGAATATATGCCTATTTGTTAAAGCCATCCACTTGTGGGATATATATAT